ATGTTTCTCTTTATTTTATATTTGAAGGCTTTGACCACTATTTTTATTAAAACTTCAAATAGATCAAAGATATCGATTTTTATATTTTATAGACGATAAATCTCAATCATCAATTCCATAAAGTTTATACATTTAAACCTTAGAAAAAATATTTTTGATAAAAAGGTATCCTTCTCTATAACTAATCTCTACTCATGTAGGGATATGTATAAGATAATATATAATTTTTGCTGCCAGTGTAATATATGTATAAAAAACTTTTAACTAAAGAGGTTTTAATATTGCCAAGCCAATGCTCTTAAATACTTTAATAATTGCAGTCTTTTTAAATTACCCTAAAGCCTGACCAGCTAAATGTTAAAACTAATACCAAAAATGTTTTGAATTTGTCAGTTGACTATGTAAATCACTTTTACAAAAGAAGTGTTTACCATAAACAAATTAAAAAGCAGTGTGAATTCAAAGCAAGGAATAGAAATTAATTCAAAGCATAAATACAAGGAGATATTTTTTTACAAAAAAAAAATTCGGTGATCAAAACACGATAGCACTTTTCAAACTGTATTGTATTTGTATATTAATTATACATTTTGAAAATATTTTCTCTGCTTTTTAATGCAACTTAGAATAGCAATAAAGCTAACGGCTCACCTGATGGAAAGTGGTAATCGTCGCCTATAGACATAACCAGTACCATGAACATAATAGAGTATACTGTATCATCTATGACACCCTTTATACGTTATTTAATATTCACATTGTTAGATTTAAACTCATACGTACTCCTCGACGATATATGCATAGTATTGCCTATGCAAATTTATGAAAATCAACACTGCAATTTCCTTTTGCAATTTCCTATTAAATACTCAGAAATCTATATGTATTTCTGTACTTCCTCCTTCATACAAAACACTTTCTTTCACAATATGTACTAGTCTATTCCTTTTATTTTGAAAATCACCATTGTGTATTAATCATTATCATAATATCATCCTTTAACTGTCCACTGCTGAAGCCTTCCCCTTGGGGGGTTTTGCCAGCAGTTGCCATACTTGGTAGGCGGATTAACAACCGCAGTTAGGCTTTAGAGACATTTTAAGAGGTACGCTGCTGCCCATTCCTCGCCCTCCCTTAGACGCCTCTTACGACACCCACGGTAAAGGAAGCAATCACCACTTTCCTTTTCCGTGGGCGTATTAATAAATTTCTTGTTAAATATGTTTATGTATATGTATATGTTCTTTAATACTAATTTAGATTATTCGAAACTGTAAGCTCTTACATTGTCGTAGTGGTAGGAAACACTTATGTACCGATCTGGAACAAGTCTATGAATCACGCTTACTACGTTTCAGTGCAATTTCACATTAAACATTCTCTTAATATGCCAGCTAAATATGAAAATATTACTTGAAAATGTTTTACTGCTCATGGTTTGTCAACAGCAATAAAGATTATGAGTTTACGATGACACAAACTTATTACCTACTTACTCGTAATTCCATGGTAAATCATTCCAGAAGTACAGTAGGTACTACCAAAATTCAGCCAGTATTATACTTGTACCTGCTACATGATATAGATACAAAGTACATATATATACTTATTATACATATTTCCCATATGGTCCCGTCGTAGAACAGGCCACCCCTTCCTGTCCCGTGGATGTCGTAAGAGGCGACTAAAGGTCGACGAGGGATGGCCAGCAGCGTTCCTCTTAAAACGTCTCCAAAGTCTAACTGCGGTTGCCAATTCATCTGTCAAGCGTGGCAACTACTGGCAAAACACCCCTAGCAAGAGCTTTATGTTCAGCAGTGGACAGTTAAAAGCTGATACGATGATAACGATGATGACACATACATATTTATTTTATTTATTTATTTATTATTATTTCTCACCACTAACAATTTACATACATACATTTATTTATGTTAATTAAAAAAATTACATCACTTTTACATTGACAATAATTAATATTTATGAACACTGACATCGATGAGTTTTGTTAATAGATTTTTTTTTATATTACTCCGCAATAAAAATAATAAATGGAATCAGGACAAATATCACTATTGGATCAATATGAGACTATTCGCAGCAAACAGGAAATTGGATGTAGTCATTTCCATTTTATCATATGCCGAATTTATGTCATTTCCATTCAAATGTGTATTAATTTTTTTTTATACAACTTAGAATGGCAAACAAGCTGATGACCCACCTGATGGAAAGTAGTAACCGTCACCTACAAACATGAGCAGTACCATGGACATAACAGAGTATACTGTTTCGCCCATGATACCCTTCATGTGTTGCCATTCCTGAGGACTCAGATGTTATTCCTCTGTACCCTGTAAATTCACGCCATATCCCTCACCCTTCAAACCGAAACACAGTCATGCAATCATAACTGCTTCACGGTAGAAACACGAATGAGACAGAGGTACCCAAGCAATCGACTTTGGTACAAAGTCTCCATCTGGTAAATCAATCAATATTGTATTAATTTTGTACCATATATAATCTTAGCATAGTATCTTGCATAATAGAGTGAGTTTTGATATTTCATTTAATGTTTACCATTGATCTACATTTACCCATTAATTTTATTGAACTTAGGTAGTTATGTATAATATTTAAATTAAATATTCTTTTATTACACAATTGTTCTCTGACATCAAATTTTATTACTTATTTCCTTACAGTCAAATTTATTAAAATAAATTTCACATAATATGCATAATGATGTCACATATTTTTTTAATATTTCTATATAGAGGCAATTAAAATAGAAATGTAATTTATTTATTAATTTCTTACAGCAACATAGAGAGCATTACAGTATATTGATATACATCAATGCGCTCACTTAAATTTAAATACACTACAGGAAAAACAAGTCTATATTTTACAAAAATGTCTTCACAATTATTGTAAAATACTATATTTTCTTAAGGCAAATAAACGAGTACCAAAACTAATTTCACGTAACCAATATTAATATTTTTAAAACTGTTTACCTGACTCAAACAAATTTTGACTCAAATGATCTTTAACTTCCTAAAATTATAGTTTAATTTTCGGCGTACACACAGTACTATACCTACCAATTATATGGATGTTTGTATTAGCCTCTATAAGAAATCTCATGTAGACATGTGCATGTGCATAATACTCGTGATGTTCTTTTGAAAACGATCATTTCCTCCAAATTCGACTCCAATGTCTGGAAGCACAAAGGGCCATTCACTTGGCACTTTGTTACTTGCGCTTATTTTAAAGGCTTCGTATTGAATTTCGCAACTTATGACAATAACATTACGGTACTTTTTCCAAATGCAAATGTTGAAATCAATATAAATTTAACGCAATTCTCTTTACACGATTTTGTATCACGCGTCGAGAATATCACGACATTGTACGCCCTACGTGATTTTGTTGTGAAATTGCCTTACGTATAAATAGTACGTACTAACTGCGTGAGAAATGTTTTTATTAACACTTTGTTTTAGTTGAACTTGAATAAAAGTCAAGTCACGCTTTCATACAGTTTCGTAATACCTATGTTCTTTTTTGTTATATAAAAATATAAACAATGTAATTAAGACTTGTTTGTGGGTTAGAGAATTAAGACGCACGTTGTGGATTCCAAGAATTGGAACATAATGCTCATTATGCTAAAGATCCCACTCTCACAATATATATTGAGCAATTTGTTCAATTCATTATTTAGGTGAAGAACACGCGTACAAGGATGATGATAGTCATTCATATTAATAATAAAATTATAATATCTCATCAGAAATTTTGTAATGCAGTAGGGATGGTATTGTCCGAGTATATTGATATTAGTCGAGAGCAAATGTTCTAATGCAAACAATAACAGCTTTATTAGAATATTAAACAACATTAGAGGATCGTTGGACTGTCTATGAAACTTAAATCAAAACTATTTGTGTACTTATGTACCTCATTAAATAAAGCAAATTTTATACACATACTAAAATTTTCTGGTTCATAAAATATTTAGGTTCTTTTAGTTCTCAGTAAATTCTGGAGATAATCAAAAGTAAAGAAAAAGTTTCTTGCAGATTTACCAATGTTTATTAAGATACTAGTCATTATATTGTACAATTTAGAGGCGTTTTAATGATCTTTTCACGACACAGTGCTTTTATATGGAGCGTAAAGTTGTATAAACACATCTTAGACAAAGAAAAATATTATGCGACTTGAGCCAAGTGCGATGAAAACGATAAAGTCGTGATGATAATAAAGTTTTAAAAGTACAACGCTATGCACAAGAGCTAGAAGTAACTATTCGTAATAATTTTATCAAATAACCAACCAGAATGCAACGGAAACTCGTTACAAAAGTGTTTACAAAATCATTATTTATGAAATGTTATTTCATTTCATTGTGCCTACTTCTCGTCTATGTCAAATTTTCACTGACGCTCTACTAATTAGTTGGATGTGTTCTCTCGGAATAATAAAATATTTAAATTGGAAAACTAATGTTGTTCAAAGATCAAAAGTAATGATCAACTATCGCATTAAATAGTGTATCCATGTGATTTTTAGTTGAACTGAACTATTTTTACTCTTCAGAAGCGGTGCGTCAGTTGTTGATTTATAAAGGAGTTGACAGATAGCGATTGTGGACAACACGTCTTCGCCTTCACCTTGGTCAGAGCACTGCTTTATATCATGATGGCTTCCATTGACAGCGTCCGTGACACCCGTACCTAAAGGAGTTTCCAAAATAAACAACTTCTAATGACATGGCGCAATAAAGTATTCTTGACGCTGTTCTATTCTATAAATTGCATGGCCTACCTTTTAAAGGATTCATATAACAGTGGTGTAGATTTTGTTTACCATTCAACTACATTATTCTAAAACCCTATCCGCATGCAGCTAAATAAACTCAAGCAAAAATATCTTTTACCCTTCTGGAGAGTCAAGGACATTTATATATACTGCAAATATCTTACGGATGGGTATCGTGTCTTTGTAGTGGTCGTGGTAACGGTCTCCACGGTTTCCACCGTTTCCACTACCTCCCCGTCTTCGTCGGGCTTGTCGTCCCATGGTCCGAAAAACTCCGTCATGTTTGCCGTTCAATCCTTTTTCACCCACAGCACTGGCCCCGAAAAGGCTTATCACACACATTCACTGCACTGCTCAGCTTCACAACCTTTTAGCTACAGCAATTATCACACAGGTTACGTAAAACTTTAGATATCAATTTCGCGGTGTTCTCTAATATCATCAAGTCTTGTGTCCATGTCCGTCTGACTAAGCAAAAGGATATTTGGCAAAGGCAGTTGTCGGTGGCATCTACGAGCCCGCTGCGCTGTGTACGCGGCTAGAGTTGATCTTGTTTGAAATCCTACTGGAAAACTGAAATAACTGCGGCCAACAAAAAGCACCAGCCAAAACATTTCACGTGCGGGATTATTATTAGGTGGACGATCTAGTCGAAAGAGCTAAGTGTCGCTGCGGCTTTTCACTCAAATAAACTAGATTGATATTGTTAATTTCCGCATGTTATTCTTTCACTGTCTTATTTATTGTTGCGAACTTGTGCGTTATTGCGGATTACTGTGACATAAATGGCTCTTTAACGTCACCTCTGTGCTTTCAGTTAAAATACAATCAAGACCTTCATTGTTTCTACAAACTGTTTTGTTTTGTTCTAAATTTTCGACTTTACCTGTACATGTCTGAGAGATTAATTGGTAATTACATCATTCAATTTGTAATTCATTCCAATTTCAACAAAACATTTGACACTATTTACATTAAAAAAATTAACTGAACAATAACTTTTTATAACTTTTAATATTTGACAACTATTTGAGACTACATTAAATAGTCTATAAGATACACAAGTACTCAAAATGTTTGAAATAAAGAATATAAATAATATAACTTCACGTGAATGTTATGATACATTTTCTTTACTCGTGTTTTGTGTGAAATGTAACTAACATTCTATAATTTTTAAGCGGTATGTTTGTCGATATAAAAATGTACTTGCAAATCTGTACAAGTTTCCAACTTAAAATTCATCAGATCAATACAAAATATTTTATATAAATAACTTATTAACCATGTGAACAATAAACAAACTGAATTAAATAAGTAGATACTATTTATTTACTTTAGTATTCACTAAAATACGTATTATACTATATATCAATATCGATTTATATAATATCAAATGGTCAATGAAAGTTTTTCTATTTTGTATTCCAGTGTGAAATGCCGAATAAATGTTTTTCTATTTCTGTTTTTATCAGAAAATTATCCAGATAGGACTTGAGCCTGTATTAGGAGAGTATTTCTAGAAAACTATAATATAAAGACTGACTACATTTCCAATTACCTGATAGAAGGAATTACTACAAAATTAATAGTAGGTAATTAAATATTCCATGTTGTGTTATCAGTTGGGAAATTATTCAATCTAATTTTGAATATTACTGACAAAATTGACATATATCTTTATAATAACTACAAGTTCTTTGTACTTTGATTTTTGTTTTTATACTGAATGAAATTTATAGATATCAACTAATGACAAAGGAATCGATTCAGAGACATCATTTCACTAATTCTATCTCTTAGTCTAATATTTTATTTTGTAGTTTAACTAAGCTACTACTTTATCAAACATTATAGGCTAAATTTATAATAATTTTAACTTCTTTAAATCTATTAGAAATTTATTTCATATTAGTCTTTAGATTCAAGATTTCACTGTAATATCAAATTGAAATTTTAACTTTACACATAAGTTTAGAGAAGTGTCGCCTCAGAATCGACTCTAATATTTATGTAAGATAAACAAAAAGTCTACAAGTATTTATTTTAACTAAATGAAAGCACAAGATGAATATTATTCCTGACATTTGGACCGTGACTAATCACTGTGATATAACCTCTTTGTATACAGAAATACAAAAAAAAGTTTGCATGGAATTCATTATTGTATGTAACCGTCCAGAGGCGTTATCGGCGTAGGTGCCGACAGCTTCTCCACTTAATATAAATACCCGGCTTTAACAACCCGCGATAAATCCGTACCACGCCTCGGGATTATCTATCGACTAGCAATTTTAACGGCCTATTGATAAAGTCCTCAATCGAATGTAATCAAATCGTTAAAGATAAGGAGCTTCCTGATCCCGTTCACGATACAGCGAAATTGTGTTTAAACTCCGGACAGTAAAGTTGTTTATCCCTCATTAATGTTTTATGGGTCACACTACTATAATTTCAGAGATTTTTCATGCTCAAATAATTGGAATGTCGGAGAAAATGTTTCATGTATCTAGATGTATACATAATATGTAACAACATATCTATTGACCTTTGTCAATGTTTAGCTTGTTATAAAGAATAATAAATTATATTTAAAAGTTAAAACTAAAACTTTGTTAAAATTAAAAGTTATAATTTGTCATAATTTAATTAAAAGTTATTATGTAAAATAATTTCTAACAACATAATCTTTTGGCAGTTGCCGACTTGTTTGTGAAACTCAGTTGTCGAGGTGACCGGATATTGAACGTTTTTCTTTGTGGAGTAGTAAGCACATAGTTTTATGTAAATGTGGTCCTGAGTTCAATTCAATAAAATTGGACCAATTTAGAAAACAATTTTTTTTTTCAAATTTCGGATTATATTAATTTTTTTCTGTGCAATAAGATTTTTAATCTTCGTTCTTCAAAACCAGTCCTTCCGGTTTTTCAACCGACTTCAAGAAAAGAGGTTCTCATGTCGGTTGTATTTTTTATGTTTGAGGTAAAAAGCTTAATGTTTTTATGTTTGTTAACTTATGACTCTTGCTGGAGTTAAAATATAAAAATCGATTTGAATTTTTTTTTATCCGTAAGAACATACTTTGCAGAAAATGTCTATGGGACCACCATAGACATTTTATTAAAATCAGTTCATCATTCGGTAGTTTAGTTTTTATGTCACAATAACTGGTTTTGTCACAATTGAAGTCGGTATTTTTCTTTCTATATCTCATCTTAATTATTAGAATCGAGAAAAATCGATTTAAGCTTATAAATACGAGAACTAATTAGTTATCCAGACTATTTACACAGGACTCTATCACCTGTAGCACCATATAGTGAGAGTTTCTAACCGGTCAAATTTATTTATACCAGAATTATTTTTTTTTTTACAACATAGGGGGCAAACGAGCATGCGGCTCACCGGGTGGTAAGTGACTACCGCCGCCATTATGTAATCTCAATGGCATTACACACACTTTACTGACCCTAAAGAGCTTTTTTTTATTAGTTAATTATTTGTTATAGTAATATTTTATGTATTTATTATATGTATGTATATTTATTTGTTTTACATATTATATGAACGTTTATATTAGTTTCATTATATGTCTATTATATATGAATATCTTAAGTATTACTTTAGATTTTCTCGATGCTTTAATGCACCGCCTTCTTTTTCTCTATTTTTCCAATGATTGGCTGATAGAGACCATCCGTTGTTAAGTCCAAAATATATCCATAGAATTTCACTGTGCATTATATAAATTTAATTAAATTTACCTGGATTATCTAGTTTCTCTAGGATATCTAGGATTTCGAATAGGTTATACAACCTATTCGAAACATCGGGATAATCCAGGTAAATTATCCTATTTTACTTAAATGATCTTGTTAATTCTCGTCTCTTATAAATCAAAATGTCACCTTTTTGTTTAAGATCTTAGCAAATGGATACTTACGCAAGTTATGCTTCGTCATGAATTCTGCGCATTCATCCCAACACTTAGTGTAGTATATATGACATCTCCAAGGTGACTTACCTGCAATCAACAATTCGAATTAAACAAACCGGACACAGGGAATCGTGTGGTTGTTTAGGGAAGCAGAAATAGATTTATTAGGAAGATTAATACTGCAGGAAGTGCGTTCGCACATTTCGTGAAGTGTCGTTCATCACAGTTTATGCCGTCGTAACGCCACATCTAGGGTTACTACAATTTGGAAATATAAAAACTCTTGGCAGAATCGGAGATTAAAAAAGTAAAAAAATTTTAGTCAGTAAATCCTTTTCGTTTCAGTATCCCTGTATGCATTAATGATTAAAAATAGGCATAAAATTTAACACACACATAGACTGTAGCCCGAAGAAAATATAGACCACTTTTTTCTTCAGTCAATGCAAACGATATCGTGAACTCCGCCAGTCTGTTACGTACTTATTTAATCATTCAATAACGACTGAACGGATTGGAATAAAATTTGGTACATACATAAAATATTTTCTAAAAAAAAACGTATAGAAGTAGTCCATGTAAACAAAATTGCGAAACATAGGTGAGTTTAGTGCTAAATTCGCTTTACCACGGATATCAAGTTAAAATGTTAATTAAAGAAATCTCATTTAAGTAAAATTTATAAAATCTGAAACAAATGACAAATTCTGACAGGTGGCAACCCTAGCCTCACCTGAGCGTGTGACGTGTCCGTGACCCCCTATTTCCGCGCCACTAAAAATATCATCCATCTCTCCACATCCGCGGTTTTTGCATAGCATTATGCAATGCGCGCACGCAACGAGCTTTTGTTTACAACTAGGCTAGATGAATATTTACAATGCGTTTCTCGTCTCAGCCCGTCGCACATGACGATTATAGCAAGTAGGTAAAAACAGCGATTCAAACATAACACGACGTTGATAGACGAGATGTTCTAAAGTCATATTCAATTAAAAACAATAAATTTAGAAAAATTAAAATCTGTTATTTAAAAGTAGATACATTAAAAGGAAGCATTTTGTTTAAAGAGTAGCTTCAATGGTCACCAAATTAATATGAAACTAGTAATGGAATAAAAATATGTCGGTAATAATAAAATAAATATATAGGTATTACAAAAAAAAATTAAATAAGTTCATAATTAATGAAGTACATCTTTTGGTAGTCATTTGAAAATTATATATTTTTTTACCAATAGTGTATTGGAGTACCTACTTCTATATAAGAATGGGTGTACCTCAAGGGTCTATTCTGGGACCCTTTCTATTTTTAGTTTATTAATGATGTTGGTTTTGCCATGTAGAATAGATGTAGCATAGTATTGTTCTCAGATAATACTTCTTTGATTTTTAGTTGTCAGATTTAAATAGTGCTTTGCTGCGTCTCTTGCATTGGTTTACAATGCTCATGGAATGAGCTTCCTGCCGAGGTTTTCCCAAGAAACTACAAAATGGGGTTCTTCAAAAGGAGGGTAAAGAGGTTTCTTCAGGATCGGCAACGCGCGTGTACCCTTGGTATTGCAGGCATTCATAGGCTACGCTAACCGCTTACCATCAGGTGGAAAGTATGATTGTTTGGCACCT